CATGGGACAAGTGTCACAGGAACACCAAGCAGATTGTTGACAGACTTCCGTGTAATTTGAAATAAAACTTTCATCCGAACAAGGAGCATCGTCGACGATATACTCTCATCACTCACACTAGACTGATCTGAATCGTCACAGTATACCGTACTTCCCTGATCATAAGCCCGGAGGCATGAACACGTAAAGGAAAAGTAAGGGATGAGCTTGTACTCGAGGACCAACTCAGAAAAAATTATTTTGTTTTGGGGTTAAACACTGTAACCATCTTGCAAACAACGAAAAATTATCCAAAAAAAATATTCGTTCACCACGCCGGGCTCGGGTAAATAATACTTATTTTTTTAAAAAATTGCGTCATTGATTTGAACGATACTTACAATGAAGAAACAAACATGTTCATAAAAAACACACACATTTTATTACAATACGATTTCCATACCGTCTGTAATGGGTAGGGTCTGTGAGGAAACAGTGGACGAAGGCATTTATCATTATCTTCATTTTGGTATGTTTTTGATCGTACGCAAACTCTCGACGCAAAACAATTTTCCACCATGAGGTTTTTCAGCACGATTTAACCTGGAACAATTTCCTTTGACATAACAGGTCATGTCTTTCATTAACCAATCAAAATGATGTGTCGTAATGATGAAATTTTCCGATTATTGACGATGATTTTTTAGCGCAATGCGGAAGTGAATTACCGCAATGTTAAAATGCGATCTGTAGCACTGATTGCAACGAAAAAAACGATGATTTTTTTCCCTAAAAACTGGCGATTCGCAATTTCCGAAATATAAACGACGGTTAATAGTAACTGTGGGTAAACTGAGTGTGGATGAAAAATTTAAACACCTTTCTCGTTCGCCAACATGTCTCAACGTTCAAACCCTAGGCCTTTCATGATAGTCTCAAAGTAAACCATGCCCAATAACCAGGTACACGCCTTGACGATCACATTTTTGGCTTTTCGAAGGCTACTACTCAAAAAAATATGGATTACTCCAGAATTGCAACATCGATGCGAATCACGTTGTGTACGTTCGCCATGCACTCTGAACTTGAAATTAATGCGAGTTTTCTCATAAAACTAAAAGCATGAACCAAACTAACATGCCAATCACGATTATTATGAAACGAATCACACCTTTTACACGCATATTTTAAAGAATATCGTCGACGCCCAGTAAAAACACTCTGGGCTTATAATCGTGAATGCTCTCAACTCGATAAATACCAAGTAAAAACATAGGGATGGGCTTCATACTCGGGAGGGGCTTACGATCGGAGAAGTACGGTACTTTAACGCAATTGGGCTTTCACTCTCAGAATACTGTCGTTCAAACGCATAAGGCTCTAACCCAAGTTTTAAAAAGCACATTGTGCATATAAAAGTTGAGTTTATACTAATAGTACACAATGCTTGGCAGCATGAACGGCTATGTACAATGACGTATACGAATGCGATCAGATACTAAAACGTCATAGCTTTGAAAAGTACCCGGATGTTAAATATGTTCGTTCATTAATTATTCCCCTCCATGAATGGCCTCCATGGCAAGCACTTCAAATGCCTATCCAAGCTACAGTTATAATTAAAACAAAATTAAACCACTGCAATATTATTTCGAATACAGTTTAGAATATACACAACTATAAATTAAGGCCGCATTAGGTTCGCTTTAAGACTTTATACTTACGCAATTATACCGTTCAAATCAAAATCTTTATCGCAGTATGAATCAAGTAGCTTCACTAATTCAATTTGTAAATCTTTATGACCATGTAAATACCTCTCTACCATATTCCCCTTGTCTTGATATATCAATGGTAAGACGATCTGAAAGATAATAACAGTACAGGACGATCTGTGGAAGCATAAAGATGACGACCAGTACGCACATTCTGGGGTTTCAAGGACTTTTTACAATGTACATAATGTAAACAGCTAAAACATTGTCAAGAATCTACGTGCCCATCCCCTCACTATATGCGACTCAACTAATGCCTAGATACAATGCTAGTAATATCTTGGTATAGTCAGCTGGCCAGTGATCATCTCCAATGATGACCTTCATAGACAAACACATTCTCAGGACATTATTTTTGAAATCAAGAGCCGAAGACTGGGATGGTTGGGTCATGCTCTTAGAATGCCACAAGAAACAATCCACAAAGACCAAGTTTAAAATTTGTGGCATTTTGAAGGGGTGGGCGCTTTGCCGAATGTGACACGAATATAAAAATTACGCAAAACTTTGAGGTGGATGCTTGATCGGACATTGGCGGTCCAGTACGGCAGTGTACCAACTGCAAATAAGGGCACTATTGATTGTAGAATCAAACCAGAATCTAATATTGTAGTGAGTTATTACGATTACAGGTTCATATATCATGGCAGTATGTAATGAAGTAGTATTAAGTAGTATTAAATGAAAATCACGGCAATCTGATTGGTCCGTGGAAGCCGATTGACCTTTCGACATCATGGCTGACTATCGCAAAATAAGCTGATCAACGGTTTTTTTAGAAAAAAAACTGTAAGAGAGAGCACTGCAATTCAGTGGCGCCACCAAGTGGGGGAGATAGAGTTCTTCCTACCAGGGAGTTTTTGATAATTCTAAATTAAAATGGAGCATTCTATGGCTTCCTTGGGGTGAAAATTACTATCGGACAGGTCACAGTTGAAGACTGTGGCCACATGTGATCCCTGGACAATCAGAATTTTATTGTTGCCAGGGGATCTGCTCCCCAGGGTAAGGGGGTGCATGGCCATGGCATGAGGACGCTGCGCCCCTGTTCCCTTGTTTAAAAAAATCTCTGCTGATATTTCAAGATATTGGTGGTTTTACACAATATTATTGAAATATTATTAAAAATTACACAATGTACATTAATTCATCTATTTCAGGTAGTTACAGGGAGCAGCTAAAACATGTATGTAAACCCATTCTTCCCATACTCACTATTCAGAATACTATATAATAATTTTTGCAGTTGATTTGAAACATATATACAAGGCAGAATTTGATACGTAAAAAAAAAAAACAGTCAACAAACAAGTTGGTCTCTGATTGGTCAGAATGTTAAATACTAGGGTTGGGTAACTACCAGGGTTTGACCAGACTCCACACAAAGGAGTTCATTGATTCTATTCTAAACATTTTGGATTTCTGCATTCCCATGATGTATAATAATAAGGTTATTACGAGAATACCTCATAAAGTATGCACTCAAGACAGTACGTCTCGTATCGACATCCGCTGTGCCTTGGTCGATACTCCTGCTGTACTGCCTTTGTGCATACTTTGAGGAATCCTCGTAATAACCTCATAATATTACATAACTATTCAGTTGTCAATCCTTACCTCATTGAGAGTAAAACAATGCTGTAAATTCAACTTAGAAACACAATTCGCAGCCTGGAAGATAAACAAATGAAGCATGTTACTATAATAAGATTACCACCCCCCCCCCCACCTTACTCAGATTAGCTTAGTACATAGTACATGTACACTATAGTATACATACACCCTAGGAGACAGTAGACAGTCGGTCGTACCTAATATTAATCTGTTATTATTAATAAATATTGTGTATAAATTGTGAACGCCGGGACAGAAAGTATGGAGTAACGTTAGGCACGATCGACTGCCCGGTGCTGCAATTCACTGGTAAGATTTCTTACCAGATCCGGGTACTTTCATATGCAAATGTTAGTCGCGCAGATGTCTATCATTTTATCACGGCCAATCGTTAAAAGGGTCAGGTGTGGCTGGCTACTTGGATCGCCCACGACTTACACGAAGTTTGTTTTGACTGTACTATAAGCGATCGCGACACTTTCCACAGCAGTTTTTGATATCACGACTTATACAAATCTGAACAAATGCATTATAAAAATCCTGGAACGTGATATTTACCAATTTCCAATAACTCTCGCTTAGTTTGTTGAAATTCCTTCCTGAACTCATCCCTGTTTTTTGGCAGAGTCGACGCTCTCAGTCCACATTTTCTGCACGCATACAAACTGACAAGATGTAGATCGATTGTCTCTGCCACAACAAATTCGATTTTCTTCGCATGTCGTAGTTTTGTTGATCGCGAAATAGTCTCTTCCGGTTTTCTATATTTTCTATTTGACTTCCACAAACAATGCATGTTGTTTCCTTGGTTATAATTTAATAGTTTTCTTTGCTATTTTGGTTGGAGTGACTGTATTCATTGTGTTCATAAAGTGAACAACCAACGCATTCAGGGGGTCACTTAGAATAAATTTGCATACATTATGTTAATATAATTTATTTTGCAACTATGAATTATTCATATCAACTAGAAACCTGCAGACGGGGACAGTCTCTCGAGACTAAAGTCCCTCGTGTGAAATGGTTCGCATTTCCCATCAAACGCCTATGGCGTTCAAATTGCATTAGGCTAGAGGACTGTCAACAGTCTAACCCTAGGCAGACAAGTGAGTAGTACCTTACAATGTCTTCTTGTCAATGCAGCCTTTTCATGGAGGAAAAGGAAGCAAGATGATGGTCTTTATCAAATATTATTGCCAATTAAAGTTTTAACATTTTAGGAGCAAATTCCAGGGTGTTTAGCAAAGGAACGCAGAAGCAATGCCAGTTAGTGTTGTTATGTTGTGAATGCACACGATGACACTTTAGGCGTGAAATACCTTACCTCTTTATAGTGATGCTTGTGTAACAGCTGATTAATGTACGGTAGTAAACACTCGTTTCCAGGACTGTCGAGTTCGTAGACTTTTACTATGGTATCAAACACACTACTGAAGACATTATTACCAGCTTTCAGAGCCTGCAGCTTTACATCAGCAGTTAGCAACTTGGAAGCCCTCTAGACATTCAATTGATAAAAAGAAATAAAAGGATTAATAATTCACTGGGTTTTAATTTTGCTTATTTTCCTGACTGGAAAATGCGCTAAATTAAAACCCTGTGAATATGTAAAATTTAGCATAAAACACATTAACTAAATGATAAAACCGTAAATTTAAAATCCATTGAAGATGCCTGAAAATTTAAACCCAGTAACAAATAGTCATTTTACAGTGTTGTGATTAGGTGTTTAACAACACAGAGGAGTAGTGTATGATTACTTCCTTATGGCCCCCACCCTTAACATGAACCCAATATTTCTGCCCCACCTAATGAAATTGTACATTCCCCTCCAGATAATTATGTGTCTTAAAGAGGGGCATATACAACTAGAATGAGGGAGGGGTGCTGAAGGGGTAAGGTTATGATCAGAGTTATACAGAGTTCTAAGGAACTCTTACCCAATGAAATGCCTATCAAGCAGTGTTTTCCAGTTAAGCATCAGCTCAAATTACATTCATAACAAGAGTTTGTTTCTGATTAA